CAGGAATTGGTGTCTGAAGTGAGGTGGGGTGAAGAGAGGGATGCTTTTGCAGAAGGCAGCTTCCAAAGCACCATGCACTTCACAACTGTAGCCGACCTGTGTTGTCCAGCACATTTACTACTGTGGCCCACACTCTATGCTGAGCTTTTTATATGAATAAATGCCTTAAGTCTTCCTAACAACCTGTGAAGTAGATAATATTATCATACCCATTTTATAGATGGGAGTACTGAACCACAGAGAGGGTAAGTAATAACAGAGGCAGAGTCTCAACCCAGCAAGACGGTCTACAGAGGCCGGACTGTAAACCACTTTCTCGTCTGTTGCCATTACACTGGCTATGTTTTGGTCTCCGCCCCTAGACTCTGACACCTTGGGGGCAGGGACTGTGTTTTAGCTTACTGTGCCTGGTCAATACTAGTTACTCAATTAATACCTGTGAATGAGAGGGTGATTCAATGAACAAACTCCACAGTATGTAATATTCAAGAATCATTGTGAATTTGGGAAATTAAATCTGTAATGCTCTTGATACCTGACAGCCAAATGAGGCTAACAATGTTTGTCATGGAATTTAAACACCAACATCAACTTTCCCTCCCACTGCTGAAAGATGCTTTCTAAACTTGCAAATGATACAAATAAATAAGGATAGATTTCACTTTCTGAGAGAGCATTTATGTCCTTGACAGTGAGTTACATTCATCAATTTCAAGCTGGTAAAAATGTTCATCTCTGATTCTTATGTTTTTAAAAAAATGAAAATTACAACAAAACACTACATTTCCTTTTTACTTGTCTAACTTGATCTTGCTTGCTTATAAACTCTGGACAACTTCACTCCTATCTTGACATTATTTTCCAATCCAAGCTCTGAAGTCATCCTGTTTAATAAGTAGTTATTCACCAAATTATCTCACAAGACTTGAAATCTAGAAACTTAAATCAAACGTAAGTTATTACTTTAATTATAACAAACTATTTTAATTGTTCATTTCACAAAAGTACAAAATCACTTAATGGTACAGGTTTGTTGACTTAAAAATATGTCTTAAGGTGGATTTATTTAGTTCGTGTCAGAAAATTGATGATAATCATTTTAAGAGCTATACTTAATTTGTACTTCAAATCCATTTTCTAGGATAGTAGTAGCATTTAGAAATCTCTTTTCAAGAGACTGTGCACCCTAGGCAGCTTCTGCCATCTTTTGGATGGATTCCAGAAGTTCTGTTAAGTGACATAATGGAAGTCAGAAATAACATTTTGATTAATGGAATGGTTGGTTTTCAAGATATGTTGATTAGCTTATAGGAATGGAGCCCTAAACCTGACCCAGGATCCTGTTTAGACACTTTGGGAAGATTCTGACCCTTGATCTCAGACTAACTGGATTCTACTGATAGAAATTGTCACATTTTTCTAGAGTGAAGCATTTCCTGCAAAATACATTCAGAATATGGTAGGTCCCTAGTGCAGAGTCCTCACCTTTCTACAGAGGAGGTCAATGCTGGTTTGCTAAAAAATATTTGTTATGTGTAGCAGAATTCAATCTGAGACTTCCTTTTATTGTTGAATGTGATGCAGGGATACGGGGAGACCTAGAGTTCTGATCGATTCCTAACTTCTCCCTTCGACCACATGGAACCAAGTATTTGCCAGTAACAAAATAACTTTGGTCAATTCACAGCAGTTACATAATCGCAGAAACTTTAGATTAGCTGCTAAGAACGATTGCCAAGACTGTTGGGTAATAAAACCCTCAAGCGTTAGTTCATGGGGAGTGAAGAAATCACAGTGTGATGTGTGCTCTTGCATAATCATTTGCACAAGTCTCAAGAGGTTAAAATTTTAGCATGTTTTTCCAGGACTGGCCTTATGTTATTAGCATGACACAGCCCTGGGCCTTAAATTGTTCCTATTTAAGTGCTAACAGCCATTTGACATAAGCCATATTATTAATGATTAATCCACCCAAAAGCATGTGTCACTTGTGCCTTCAGGCATTTCAAAGGATCGCCTCTTTCCTGAACTTGATAATACGCATGGGTACGTGGTAAATGCTTATCTCTTAAGTCATAATTACATTAAATCATCTGTTCTGTGTAGTCATTCTTCACATAAAGGTTATCAGAATGCTACCAGTTCTTAGAATTCTAGAGGAAGCAGTTCAGAGAGACTGCCTTAGAAGTTTATTGTTATTGTTTTGTCTCCATACACAAAACAAACTCTTGAAAGATAATTAAAATATTGGGCAATTTCCCTAACACTTAATGTTTTATTTGACTGATTTTATAGACACCTTTTATTATGCTCTGCGTTTTCTTTCAGCTCAGCCATCTGCTCCAATAAAATGTATTTGCTTCTTTCATGGGGAGCATAGGACATTTTTCTCAAAAGAGAGAAAACTAGATCATGGCTTTACCATAGAACTTTTTTTAAAAAATACATTTTATTGATTTTTTACAGAGAGGAAGGGAGAGAGATAGAGAGTTAGAAACATCGATGAGAGAGAGAGACATCGATCAGCTGCCTCCTGCACAACCCCTACCGGGGATGTGCCCACAACCCAGGTACATGCCCTTGACCGGAATCGAACCTGGGACCTTTTCAGTCCGCAGGCTGACGCTCTATCCACTGAGCCAAACCGGTTTCGGCTACCATAGAACTTTTATATAGCTCTGGTTTTCCAATCCGGCCTTTTATGTAAATATCTTTTACAGAAAAAAAATGACAATTCTGTACATAAAATTCTACTTCTGGGTGAAGTGTGCAATGTCTAGTCAGACCTAAAAATCATATTGGTGTAGCATTTTCCAATTCACAAAGATTCTTCACGCACATGATCTTATTGGTTACCCAAGAAAATCACATGATGTAAGCAGGGCAAGAATTAACTCTATTGCATAGATGATGAAATTGAGATTTCAAGATTTTAGTGACTTGCCTGAGGCTGCACAGCTAGTAAAAGCCAGAACAGAACACAAATCAGTTACCTGACTGTTCTTTCTTCTGTTTCCCAGGGTCTTCCTAACCTCTCTTTTTTTGCTAGGTTACATGTCTAAATTGGGCTTTCACCTCTGCACCTGGCTCAGGGTATTCTGATATGCTTAAGTCAATCCCTAAAGTCCATGTATTGTCACCTGTCTGGAGCCGCTGTGTCCTGGGAGTACTGCTGCAGTGCAGGCAGCATGGGGACCAATAGCAGATGGTATCTTAACATACAGAGGAGCTCAGTAGAGCTGCCTGTTCAGGAGAGTCACACCTGATAGAGATGGGGGGAGAGGGGGCGGCAATGGGGGTTAGAGACAACTATAGAGTCTGGGTAAGAAGACAGATATCTTCTAGTCTAACTGCTGCTCTTGACACTACCATGATGCTCCCATAGTTTTTCTCTCATTGCATAGCCTCAGAGCCTCTTGATCTAATTTTTGAATCAAATGAATGGTTATTTGACTTGTCTTTTAGAATGTGATTCTTTGCTGCTACTTCATAAATGTGGCCCCTCTCTTCCCTACAGGTAAGCCCACAGCATACTTTTCTCCAAAACATGAGATCCTAATCTGGAATTCATGGAATTTGTCATGATGTGAAAAATATCCTAAGTATTTACATAAATGTGCTTTTCAGAAGAGGGGATCATAGCTTTCATCAGATACTCAAAGGGGTAATAAATAAAAGGGGTAATAAAAAATGACAGACAATAGAAATCTGGGAACCAAACCCATTCCATCTCACTCTAGAGTCTTTATTCTTAAGCCTTTTTCTGACCTTCCATGTCCTTCCTGTGGCATCTATCTTCAAAGTAAGAAGGCTG